TTATAAATAATTGCATGCTACGAAAACCAAGGACATTTTGAGGAATAAGCACGTTCACAAGATTTATGTACAATGAATTGGTCACGATATAATCCAATATAGCTAGTCGAAATATACCCGTATACCACCTACATTCATTGTTTACAACCGATGTGTAAATGTTTATTGGCAAAAAGCAAAAAACACGTATTTCTTCATTTTTTGTGAGCAATCACATCGCGTAAGTGGGACTTAAGTAGGAATGCTTGTTTAATAGATGTTACAAAAAAATGTCGCTTGAAGGGTAGTTCACCCCCTTGGAGGGGTGTAGCATTGCTGGACAATATTGTGTTTTCACCGTCCTTATACAGAATACGTTTATACCAAGTTTCGTCGAAATCCCTCCATTGCTTACTACGAAAATTGTTATAAAAATGGAATTTTCGCCAAACTTTGGGGGGTTGTTTCGCCCCTTAAATGTGGACCATTGCAGATATAAAAAAACACGTGTCTCTTAGATTTTTGTGTTCTTCAATATTTATGAAAATCAATAAGATCGGGGCGGACACTTGGGAATGTTTCCTTGTCAGCCACTCGGCATCCTTGGGAGTGACGTCACCGGGCTGGCGGCGCCCTCTGGCGATCTCCGTTGGATTTATGCATCCATCGGATTCCTCGAATGTCTGCGCCGGCCGCGATTGAGGTTAGGACGGGCCGGGGCCATCTTGTTTTGCTCCCTTTCCCGTCGCAGCTCCAGAGGAGGTGGAGAGTAGGCCGGAGAAAGGAGAAAGAGAGAGACGCGACTCCGCTCTTTCTCTCTTATTTTCCCGGGGGAGTGAAAGGACTCGCGAGAAGCGACTCCTGGCTCGCAACCCCAGCCCGACAGGGCTCTGACTTACCGACCTCGTTGGTGTCACCTATTAAGTACTTTTCGTAGCAGGTCAAATCTTTGCTCGATTAACTTTAATTTATTATCCGAATAGACTTTTTGTTAAGCGATTAGGCGTTTCATAAAACGACCAACGACACATTCGTTGAAGTTTTATAAATTTTTAAGGTGATACGAAAGTGTCATATACATACTAGAAAGTTGAAATATTTATGAAACTTTTCTCCAAACTGACATTTGATAAAGCAATTAGGCGTTTCATAAAACGACCGACGACACATTCGTTGAAGTTTCATGAATCTTTAAGGTGATATGAAAGTGTCATATATACATACCCAAAAGTAAATATTTCGTTCGATTAGATTTATTTTATAATCCGGCTGGCCATTTCATAAAGCGATTAGGTGTTTCATAAAACGACCGACGACACATTAGTTGAAGTTTCATACATTTTTAAGGTGATATGAAAGTGTCATATCCATACTAGAAAGTTGAAATATTTATGAAACTTTTCTCCAAACTGACATTTGATAAAGCAATTAGGCGTTTCATAAAACGACCAACGAACACATTAGTTGAAGTTTCATACATTTTTAAGGTGATATGAAAGTGTCATATCCATACTAGAAAGTTAAAATATTTATGAAACTTTTCTCCAAACTGACATTTGATAAAGCAATTAGGCGTTTCATAAAACGACCGAAGAAACATTAGTTGAAGTTTCATGAATTTTTAAGGTGACATGAAAGTGTCGTATACATACTAGAAAGTTGAAATATTTATTAAATTTTTCTCCAAACTGACATTTGATAAAGCAATTAGGCGTTTCATAAAACGACCGACGACACATTAGTTGAAGTTTCATAAATTTTTAAGGTGATACGAAAGTGTCGTATACATACTAGAAAGTTGAAATATTTATGAAACTTTTCTCCAAACTGACATTTGATAAAGCAATTAGGCGTTTCATAAAACGACCAACGACACATTTGTTGAAGTTTCATGAATTTTTAAGGTGTCATGAAAGTGTGATATACATACCACAAAGTCAAAATATTTATGAAACTTTTCTCCAAACTGCCATTCGATAAAGCGATTGGGTGTTTCATAAAGCGACCGACGTCACATTAGTTGGTTTCATAAATTTTTAAGGTGATATGAAAGTGTCATATCCATACTAGAAAGTTAAAATATTTATGAAACGTATTTTCAAAGTGGGTGCACCGAATCATTCGAAACTTCAATACGTGATTATGGAGGTCCTAAGGAAGAACGCAATGTTCATGAAATTTCATTTTTCACATCTAATTTTCTTATTTATCCCAACCTAGAACCAAGAACACAAATTTTTTTCGAAAAATGAAATTTTATGTGCACTTTCTTCATTATGAACTGAATTTCATACATGTTTTGACATTTTGATATGTATACAATTACCTTTTATGCCTTACAATTAAATTTTATGAGCACTTTCTTCATTATGAACTCAATTTCATACATGTTTTGACATTTTGATATGTATACAATTACCCTTTCATATCCCCTTAATACCGCATAAATATGGCGAAATCAAGTATGGCGTCAATTTGTAATTTAACACAGTGTATACTGACATCAATAATAATTTCAATTTGTTTACTATATTTGTTAATAGACATACTCGGGTCTCTTTTGCGTGGTCGTCAACCCCTACAAGAGGCTGCCAATTTACACGGAAAAGATCATGGAAAGGTACAAGGGAATCAAAAGGCACGAAGTGCCACCACACGTGTTCGCCATTACCGATACTGCCTACCGCTCCATGTTGCAAGGTAACGAAACCCCTTAATTAAAACCGCCATATCTCTATTTTCTTCATTTTACATTCCCTTAGCACGTACAAGAATTGGCCGCGAAAAAACGAGTCGAAAGTCTCTTTTGCAAATTTTCCTCCGATGAATAGTTTCCGAGATATTCAGCAAAGAAGTTGACCAATGAGCGCGCGGCTCCAACGGAAAGTGAGCACGTCTCCAAGGGAAATATCGAATCTACGTGCTGCAGATCGCGAGGTGACCTATTTCTGTGAAAAATACCTTCAAATGTTGATATACATTACAGATAAAAAAAATATACATATAGGAATATGTAGGATCAGTCTAACTGGCAATTTCCCCTAGAGCCGGCACGTGATTGGTCAACTCTTTTTTTTCGATATCTCGGAAAGTAAGCGTCCCAGAAAATCGAGCGAGAGAACTTTTCGCCTCGAATTCACGCGAGGTATTTATTGGTGATGGGAAATTTCCCGATTTTTCGTTTTTGGGGGAAATTTCATGAAATTTTCAATTGCAGACCGGGAGGATCAGTCCATTCTCTGCACCGGCGAGTCCGGTGCCGGGAAAACGGAAAACACGAAGAAGGTGATACAGTATCTGGCGTACGTGGCGGCCTCAAAACCGAAATCGAACGCGGTAAGTTGCTTTTTCAAATTATCAGACCATTCGTTACGTAATTTGATATATTTTGGTACCCATCGCTGCCGCGAGATGGCGCCCGGGTCTCGATTCTCGCAAGTGCCGAATATTCTGGGTCGTGACGTCATAGAGGAAGTTTCTAGTCTGGTCACGTGGCCACGAGATAGCGCTGACTCGATAAAACCGATTCGTGGCAAGCTTTTTGTTTGAATAATAATCCGCGCTGAAAAGAAACGGCGAATTCGTCGGTGACCGATGTTTAGGTTATGGCGTCATCGGTGCTCTCTTTTTTTACTTTTTGACCTCGATGAGGGGCAATCCCGACTAGAAGGCGAATTTTCTCGTGAGAACGAGTCGTCACCTTATCGTGACAGCTCTGGCATTAAATTACTCGGTGTTGAGTGAAATTTAAGCCCGCGTTCGACCGGCTCGAGCCGCCATCTTGGTTTCCGAGGTTTCCACGAGGTCCGATGGGAGATTCTCGGAAGTTCCGCTTAGAGGCGCCACCCAAAGAAAATCTCTCATAAAATATTAAGGCGATATGAAAGTGTGATATATACGTAACAAAAAGTGAAAATATTGGAAGTTCCGCTTAGAGGCGCCATCCAAAAAAAATCTCATAAAATATTAAGGTGGTATGAAAGTGTGATATATACATAACAAAAAGTGAAAATATTGAAAGTTCCGCTTAGAGGCGCCACCCAAAGAAAAAAATTTCTTATAAAATATTAAGGCGATATGTGCCCATAATTATGAAAGTGGTCTAAGTCATATATTTTTTGTTTCGAAATTACATTGAATTAATTTCGTTTGAAATAATGTGGCGTGAAATAACTGATAAACTCATTTTTTTTTTCAATTTTGACTTAGACCACTTTCATAATTATGGGCACATATGAAAGTGTGATATATACATAATAAAAAGTGAAAAAATTGAAAGTTCCGCTTAGAGGCGCCATCCAAAAAAAATCTCATAAAATATTAAGGTGGNTTTAAGAAATAAATATCCAATAGAAGTATCATAAATAAATATTCTTCAATGAATGTTTCGCAAATAAATCGACATTGACGTTTTGATATACAGAATGACCCTTTCATATCACCTTAATTGTGTTACATTCAGCAAGAACATACTTGACGAATAAATCACAGCGGCGTTCTGAGAAAGTCCTAAAATGGCGCCGGTTTGGATTTTATTTTTGGCACCTTCTCTCCGCATGAATCATGTAAGATTCGAGGAAGAGGAATCTCGTTGACGGGACGTTTTCCGTTAACAGCGGAATTTATTATATTCGCAATGGCGTACAGTCCGGCCCTCGTGACTCGTGATTCCGCTTTGGGAGAATCGGCCATCTCTCTCGTTCTTCTCTCTCCTTCCCTGTCGGGGACTGTACTTCCTTCCGGCTCGGCGGTTCTTGCACCGCCCGGGCACCGATAGCTCTTCCTATCGTTCTTATCCCCTGTCCTCCTTTTTCTTATTCCAAGGCGGTTGCATTCCTCTCGAAAGGCTTCGTTGAGACCTCGCTTCCCTTTCTCGTTCTCTCTCTTGGATCTCTCCTCTTTCTCTGCTTTTCTTCCCATTCGGCGGGACCAAAATGGCGGGCGACTTGGCAAACGACTATTTACTTGAAAATGAGTGAAAACAATGCGTCGCATAGCAAAAGGCTTGAAATAAAAATTGTTCCTCGCAATGTCTGCTACAATTTTTGTCTCGAGGATTTTTTTGTAACACGCGTGAGTGAGGACTGTTTGCTTGAAAATGAGTGAAAACAACACGATAAAGGAAGTAATCGAGGACTATTTACTTGAAAATAGGTGAAAACAATGCGTCGCATAACAAAAGGCTTGAAATAAAAATTGTTCCCCGCAATGTCTGCTACAATTTTTGTCTGGAGGATTTTTTTGTAACACGCGTGAGTGAGGACTATTTGCTTGGAAATGAGTGGAAACAATACGATAAAAAAAATTATCGAGAGCTATTTACTTGAAAATGAGTGAAAACCATGCGTCGCATAGCAAAAGACTTCAAATAAAAATTGTTCCCCGCGATGTTTGCTACAATTTTTGTCTCGAGGATTTTTTTGTAACACGCGTGAGTGAGGACTGTTTGCTTGAAAATGAGTGAAAACAACACGATAAAGGAAGTAATCGAGGACTATTTACTTGAAAATGAGTGATAACAATGCGTCGTATAACAAAAGGCTTGAAATAAAAATTGTTCCCCGCAATATCAGCTACAATTTTTGTCTCGAGGATTTTTTTGTAACACGCGTGAGTGAGGAGTAATCGTCGTTATCAATTCATTATCATCATGGAACTTAGGAATAGTTGAAATAATAGTATAATTAATGCGTCATAATTGGAAGAATTCGAGGGAGAGAAAGAAAGAAAGAACGAGGAAGGTATCGGCTGTAACGCGTCGAGGTAATTCTTGATTAAACTTCGATTAATCAATTAACAAGTTTATCTACCTAGTAGATAATTATAGCGGACGAGACGGAGTTCGATTATATAAGCCGATGAAATACTACCACGTAAATAAATCATAAAAATAATAAATCGTCAGCATCATCATCATCATTATTATCATCACCATCATACTCTAACCCGATGAAATAATACCGTTTAAATAAATTGTAAAAAAATATTCCAAAAACTGGAGAGTGCTTTCGGCACAATATTTGATGATTTCAAGTCCACTCATTTGGTGGAGTATTTTGCGAACGTGCCTTTTTAATGGCGGTGCCTTTTTCGGGAAACAGTGATTTAAAGATGGAAGATATTCGAGAAGGAGAGAGAGGGACTCTCGAGAAACGCGAGCGTGGGAAGGATAACGCGATACTTTATATTCTAGTAACGTTGCCGGCTGTAAACTGCGCTCGCGAAATATGGTTATTGGCAACTTCCTGTCCTAACTTTTTCCTTTTTAATGTTCCCTACGTGTTTGTGAACGTCCATTGTGTCCTCGAAGGTCTTTCTGTGCGATTAATTCCGATATAAACGTTATAAAAAAATCCGGAAACATGTTCGAATAAGAATTTTACGCTGCAGCGACGAATCGATGTCCTCGGGGGGAATTTTTGCTTCAGTCATGCGTATCATAAAAAAACCCTTCGGACAAAAGTTGTAGCAGACATCGCGAGAGACAATTTTTATTTGAAGTCTTTTTTGATGCGATGTACGGTTGGGACGAAAATCGACCCTTATCGATTGAGTAACCAAGTCTTTATAACTCGCGATGGCGCAAGATCACAGTAAATCGTCGCCTTCGAGACGAATTTGTGGATCAGGCATGCATGTTATAAAAAAACTCTTCAGACAAAAGTCGTAGCATGCATTGCGAGGGACAATTTTCATTTGAAGTCTTTTTTGATGCGATGTTACAGTTAAGACGAAAATCGATCTTTATCGATCGAGTAACCCAGCCTTGATCTCTCACAATGGCGCAAGATCACAGCAAATCGTCGCCTTCGAGACAAATTTGTGGATCAGGCATGCGTGTTATAAAAAAATTCTTCAGACAAAAGTCGTAGCATGCATTCCGAGGGACAATTTTCATTTGAAGTATTTCTCGATGCGACGAACGGTTAGGCAAGATTCGTTAGGCCTTACGAAAAAAAGTGTGACATTCCATCGGTGGGAGGAAATACGCGAAAATTAACGCAGTCGCGTTAATTTTTCCGTATTTTCGCGTTTAATTAACGCAAATCCCGTTAAATGGTTGAGAACCTCCGACGAGGCTTTTAAGAGATGACCGATCGATCCTGTCTACCTCGCTCTCGAGTTCTTCGTCGAGTCGCATTTTTTTTTTTCTCCTCCCTCCCGACCAGAGGAGAGAGGACCGCTTTAATCGCGGGACATTCGAAAACAATTTCCCTGGCTCGCTTACGCGGCAGGGATCTGCTTTACCTTCCGAATCTGCCTGACAAAAGCCCGTCTGACGACCCCTTTCATCTCGCCTGTTTCTCTCCTTTTTCATGACTCATGAATACTTGATTTATCATAAATTGGTAGCTTCAACTATTTTTTTTTTTAATTGTTCAGCATACTATTGGCTTTTGTAGGAATTTTGTAGTAACGGATACAATGTGGAATATTTTATCATGAAAAATGTGTTTCACATGAGAAAATATTTATTTCACAGCTTTTTTCACTAAAATTTATAATGCAAATGATAATATTTTGTAGGAATGTTTTTATAATGCAAATGATAATGTTTTGTAGGAATTTTCTACTAACGGATACAATGTTGAATATTTTATCATGAAAAATGTGTTTCACATGAGAAAATATTTATTTCACAGCTTGTTTCACTAACATTTATAATGCAAATGATAATATTTTGTAGGAATTTTCTACTAACGNAATGATCATTCATATCAATATATATAGAATGAGCATTCATATCAATATATATAGAATGAGCATTCATATCAATATATATAGAATAATCTTTCATATCAATGTATATAGAATGATCTTTCATATCAATGTATATAGAATGCCCCTTTCACATCGCCTTAATACATTTATAATGATATTTCATATAAATGACCCTATCATACCGCCTTAAAAGTGGGATTCGGCGAAGACGTTGAAAGTGGTTCCCAGCTCGTCCGCCGAGCGCTTTCGCCGACTTGTTTATGAACGTACATGGGGCGCCTCGATCGGCCGTAAGGCAAAGACGCGTCCTTATAAGGACGAGCGTCCTTAACCCGCTTCCGAACAAACGAGCGCGTTATAAAAAGGCAGCCTGCGCCTTTTATGGCCGGCCCACGTCGCGCTATTCGAGGGACAAAACGGGACGAAACGGCGTCGCTTCCAAAAGCGGACCAAAAGGCGCCGTCGTTGTCGGTAAGGACGAAAGGTAATTCTTATAAAGAGGGACGACTCGCCTTATGCAATCGAGAACGTTTCGGTCGCATAACCTAACCTAACCTAACCTAACCATAGAGATGGAGAGTATACGGAATAAACGCGAAATTGTGGAATACGCATTTAGAAATCGTCTCAAGTTGTCGATGAAGGTGATATGAAAGTGTATAAGTGATA